ATAAAATTAACTAACTCTAAGGTAATAAAAAACACAACAATTCTTACTTTCAGGTGATTAAAACATACCTAATATTATAATCCATTTCTGCCAATAGATACTCCTAAATGTTAAACACTGGACCTTTAAAAACAGTGCTGTATATGAATAGAATTACTGCTAAATTTAAATTAAAATTAAATTCAATGCCCTGGTGGAGTGTAGCTTTTATAATGTAACCTTTAATAATCTGGACAGATGTCTGGGATGGCTTGTTGATGGTTTATTAAACTAGACATGCTCTACAAGGACTTATGTATGCAAGACCTTTCTTTTTAAAGTAAAGAGGTATTGCACACTGTGCAGTGCAATGTATAACAATTTCTGAAGTACAAGTATAAGAAAATTACCAGGTCATTCAGAAGTCTAAGGTTTGTCTACTGTATGAAGTCAAGATTAGAGGGTCTCAGGCACTTACAGAAAAACGTTCCACAACCATTTACCAAAATGGCCAATTTTCTCAGCAGATTGAATATCAAAGGTTAATGATCCTAAATCTCTCTGTGAACTATATCTGTAAGTTATCCTCAAGAGGCCAGGGAAGGTAACAGATATGTTGCCCCCTTTTTTATGTATAAAACAATACAAGTAAAAATAAGTTTGACAAAAACTAAATATGTGATGGCAATTTCTGGGTATACTTTTTATGAAGCAGACAGATAGCTGTTAGTACTCACTATGCCAAAACCCAAACTACCAGCACAGTGGACAGTTTTCTTTCTTTATGTCCCTGACATTTTGACACATATCCGGGACTGCACTGTTGCTGAGGTGCACAGAGATCCAGGGCATTAAAGTCTGGATTTGTCTGATGTAACAAGCTCTCATTGCAACTCTGTATTATTGTAGAATCAATTCTCTGATTAGCACTGATGTGGACAGCTACTGGGACAGACAAGCTTTCACAGGGCTTTATCAAAGAGGGACAAGGCATGGAACCCATTGAGCATAATCAGAGTAGGGAGCACTGAGCCCTGCACACAAGTCTTTAAATATTCTTGTTTTTAGGCTTTTGAAAAACTGAATGAAGGAGGTTTTAGTTACGTTATATAGCAGTAGCAGTGTAGGCATTGCATTGCATTTTTTCTTTCTTTTAAGAAGACTGCACATACACTTTCACATCAGAAAATCATGTTTTTGTGATATTTGATTGGTATAGTGCACAGATCAACCATATGAATCTCTGTGTGTCACTCTACAGACAAGAAGGAGTTTAACATCTCTGACAAATTGCTGATATCGTGTGCCATTGGTTGCTTTTATATAGTGACAAACACTGTTTTCACACTTTGTGTCTGCACACTTTGTACACATCCTGATTGATAAAAACAAGGCTGATAGTTTGTTTTTCCACATTTTGACAAAAAGTGTTATTTCTAAGACAGTGATAATGATTTTGGCAAAAAAATATTAGAGAATAGAGAGGAAAGTAAGAGACATATCATACCGGATTGTGATTGGAATCCATCTGTTATTATTGATGTTCTGGCCTGCGGCTGCATTCAAAACATGACTGCCCCCACACCCAAGTTTAGCAACAGGGCTTCCATCTTGAAGGAACACATGAAGGAACTGATCCCCAAAGTTTTGCTCCTGGGCTGAAATGGCAAGAAAATGAGGTTAGTAAAGAGTCTCTATTTCTGTATATCTAAATTCAATACATTATGTAAGCTACAATATATATGACATTACTCCAGGCTTAACTGTCAAGATACTGAATACAGAAAAGGTGTTCCCTTAGTGTGCGTCAAATAAAATAAAAATATTTCAACAAGAAGATGATAGATACATGGTTAGAAACAGAAAAACATGAACATAGTGGTAAGTAATTATATTATGGTCAGGGTGATGGATGGACTGTTACTTTTTGCATTTTCCATTAACTTACGTTAACATATGGCTGACTTTTTTTTAATCTGTAAATCCCAATCCATCTGTCCTGATAAGCAGCAAAAAGAGGTGCTATACTGTAGGACTGAGAGAAACCTTGACATACCCAATAAAACCTGATTAATGTCAGTGTGCTGACCACAAGGCCATACTAGTTGTGATCCATACGGAGCACCCGAAAATGCGAGGAAGGAGTCCTGCCTGCCAACAAATACCATTGCATAGCAACACAATGAGAATGCCTTTGTTCACACAGGGGTTTACCAAGACCCTACTTCAAACTGTTGGGCACTTCACACCTCTGTTTACATGCAACACTACTATTTTTCTTAAAGCATTCAGCTTGAAAGGACGAAATGGCATACAATTCAGTCCTTCTTAGCCAAGTGAAAAATGACAAGATAACAGAAAAAGACAATAACCAGAGATAAATCTACCCATAGGGCTTTGAAGGCCTTTGAAAGAGTTTGGAGAACCACAATCAGTTTTTACTGGAGGATAGAGGACCTCTCCACTGGATACTTCCACATGAAAGGGCTTGTAGGAAATAAGACAAGAAGAGATCGCTGCTGCAGAGAACCTGCAAGAAATTACCTGTGATAATGGTTTGCAGTACAATGTATCAGGACTGCACCAGTATGATATATACTAAGTATGTTCTCAGCCTGATGATGAAGGGCAAAAACTGTTTCTGTTTACAGCTGTTTATAGACTCCAGTACATTATATCAAAATAGGAGTTTCTGCTGGGCTTGCCCAGAGTCTCATGCATGTGAGACAGTGCCGTGGGGGAGCGACAGACACCGGCAACATTAATCCTCCCACACAGGCTACTAGGGTCTTTGGGAGGGAGGTGAGAGAGAGCGCACCCCAGTCCCGCATCGCTGTCTAAGAAGACATGAGCAGAGGGCAGGTAACATAAAAATGCAGCTCTTTGAGAGAGACAGAGATAGAGAGAAAGCCTGCCACTCTTGTGGCACTGATAGGGAAGACATTGTTGCAGGGCAGAAAACAGAACAGGAATACTTAGCTGTTAAAGAGACCTAAAATGTTTCGGTGATTTCAACAAGACACAACTGAATTAGAGAGAGTGACATGAAACCAAAAATCCAGAGTGAGCTACTGAGTAGGAGCAACACAAGCAGGATTGACCCCTTGAATTTCACAATGATAATTGAGCTAGGACTCAAGAGAGGCAGGCTGGTGTAACTCGCTAGGCTAGAATATGGACAGAGGTGTGTGGGCTGCAGAGACAGCCTTAAGTTTTTCACAATGTGTGCCATCTCTCATGAAGTAGTGGCATGGGTGGAGGATTTGGACACCAGCGAAAAATGGTGCAAAAGCTGAGCTTGTTGTTTCAAGGCTGCATGGCAACTGATATGAAAGCTCTGAGCAATTCCTCCAGGGTAAGAAGGGCATCCAGAAAATCCCCATCTCTTTGTCAGAAGGAGCCTATGCTTAGGTTAATATGCTACACTCTGATAATGCATTTTCTAAGAAGACTTGGAGGTCTTCCTTGTCATAAGACTCAAAAGGGATGCACTTAACAGTGCTATATTACCAACTGCTGTTGCTGAAGGCGCCACAGGAGGAATATCTTGTTTAGATAATCCACCGTTTCCTTATCCTTGTTCTGTGGAAGACCCCTACCCCCTGACAAAATAGCAGCAGCAGGGACAAAGCATTATTCATTGGAGTGAAAATATATTTTATTTTCCGGCTGCATTTAGTTAGTTCACATCCTAGTTGAAGAGACAAATTTCTCTCTGTCATTCAGTAATATTGTGACCATGAAGGGCGACTTTGTATGTGAAGTTCCCCAGGGATCAATTCTTGGTCCCCTGCTGTTCAGTTGGCCCATGGAACCAGCAGGCTATATCATCCACAGACATGTTTGTTATTATAGTTATTCTATTGATACTATTTTTTCTGTCCCTTTAGGGTGGGTTCACACTGCGGGCACAAGTCGGATTTTTTTAATCATATGTGACTTTTCATGACAGTGTGAACAGCACAAATCTCATGGAATCTGGTCTTTTTGTGGTCTGTGGTCCAAATCAGATACAGATCTGATTTTTTGTAATGCAACCTCAGTGTGACTTTTACGTCACTCTAGATCTACGTTCTCCATGCAGGTCACTTCAGGACTATGATCTGTTCACACTGGAATCTGATACGGGTCACATGTAGCAAATGATGCAAATAGACAAACAAAAACAAAAAAAAACTGATCTGAGCAGTAAATAAGAATTAAGCAGTAAGGCTTGCAGTGGACATCAAATGGATGTCTAACATGTTCCTTCAACTGAAAAACTAAACAAAGATTACCTCATTTAACTTCCATTTGTTTCAGTCTTATAGCAGTCAAAACTGCTTTATTATAAAAATATATTTTATGTAAGAGGCTTATTGTCACAGGCAGACGCAAAAAGTGTTACAATGGTGCTCGCTAGTTGGTTAAGTATTACCATTGCTCTACCTAAAAAGGCTGTGGGCCCCAGCTTATTCAAAATGCTGGACTGTTTTAACAAAAAACAGAAATTTTGATCACATCTCATCAGTAAAGTTCTCTGAATTCATAAATATATTTAAATGGTTTGAGTTTGGTTTGGTTAAAAGTTTTCCTTTCTCATGCATCAATTATGACTGATGCAATTATAATAGTTGTTTTTAATTGCAGTTTAACTGTTTTTAGTTATATTTTCAGCATACTATGTCTGCATGTACATATATTTTACAATGTTCTTTCCTCTTTTCTAAAGCAAATTTTCACTTCCCTTGGAATCAAATGTTCATCTGCAAATGCAATCCAATACACAGCCCTGCCATGAATCACATGTTTTAATTTTTTTAAATGTGTAAATTTAACTATATGTTTATTATTGAAATCATAGGTAAAGGTGGTGTTGTACTAGCCTACATTATATTGAGAGGTGTTTCTTTTTTTTGTCCACATGGTATTACTCATCAGTTGCAACTTCATTGTGATCCTCACACATGTAGGAGTAAACTAAAATATATGCTCTCCAGCTGCTCTCCTGAGCCGTGCCCCCTGTGCTGATGCAGAGAGCCACAAAGATTACACCAGGACATTAAAGCAAGCAAGCAAACTTGATAGCAGCAGTAGGGATATACACTCAGTGTCCACTTTATTAGGTACACCTGTACAGTCTGACGCAATCCAATACAGCTGTTTTACTATTAAGTCTGCTTTAATGATACTTTTGATGATAATGTTTTTGTTTTTTTGAGACAGTCACAGAGGTGTTCATTAATTATATTATATTTAGCATAGTTAGTGTTGTACTAGACTGTATTATATTTAGAGTTGACCCCATCGCACATATTTGTGATTAGGGGCGGCTGTGGCTCACAGGCAGAGCGGGTCGTCCCCCAATCAGAAGGGTGTTGGTTCGATCCCTGGCTCCTCATGCCACGTGTCAAGTAGTCTTGAGGCAAGAGACTGAACCCCCAATTGCCCCGATGAACGCATTGGTATTGAATGTTATGAATGGTTAGTTTCTGTTCGATGGAGTCGATGGGACTGGCATCACTGAGTGAATGTGTGTTTTTGAAAGGTGAATTGTGGGCACGTAGTGTAAAAGCGCTTTGAGTGGTCGGAAGACTAGAAAGGCAGGTCCATTTTACCATTTTACCCCAATCCATAATTTATATTTACCTTTGTTACTTTCTGCATTCATTTACCCTTTGCTTTGTTTTGGACAAAGTAAACAATTATTTGTTTCACATTGTAACCGATTACTGTATTTAGGTGTTTAAAATGTGTGCCTTGTGACTGTAAAGAATGGAGAAAAAAAAAAAAAAA